GGCCTCCTCTCAGCAAACGGCGGCGGCCCCGGGCGCAGCACTGGCGACTCCCGGTGCTGCCGCTGCCCCATCACCGTACGCCGGGTACGGTGCAACGGCGACGGCGCCTGCAGGGGCCCCGGCTGCTGCCACGCCGACTGCTTACGGAGTAGCGGTGACGGCGGGTGCTTCCGCCACCAACCCTGCTACAGCGTACGGCGCCTCACAGCAGCAGCAGCAGCAGCAGTACCCGGGTTACAGCGGCTACGGCGGTGCTGCCCCCTCCGCTGCTGCTCCTGGCGCCGCCGCTCCCGCGGCTTCGTCGGCGACCGGCTATGGCGCGGCGACGTCTGCATACGGGAGCTACGGAAGCTCGGCGGCTACGTCTCGAGTTGGGCAGCAGGTGAGCAGGCCCGTTACTGTATTTGGTTGTCCCATCTGACGCCCGAGCCGGAGTGATAACACCGGACTTTACATGTATATTCCTTTCTGGAGAGAAAACCCGTCAGCGCCAGCGCTCTGTTTTTTTCCTGGTTCTTTCGTGTGGATCGTAGCCTGGGCCGGCGAGAACCCGGTACATTCCGCTCCGTCCCGGCGTTGTGGTGATGCGAGGTCAATGGTTGAACGACTACGAAGGCATGTGTGTACATGAGACCCCCTCCCACCGCCGGTATCTGTGTGTTTTGTGTTTGTTGTTGACATCGACCGCGCTGACCGCCTGATAAATGCGTGTGCGTGTTTCTCTATCTTTTGATATATTTTACGTCGACCGCACTCACCAGCATGCGTGTGGTTTGCGTGTCTTTGCTATTGACATCGACAGCGCTTACCAGCTGACCAATGTGTGTTTGTGTGTTCTTTTACTAATTGCATCGACGACGCTAACCGGCTGACCGATGCGCGTGTGTTTTATTTTCGTCGCGGACGTGCTGTGCTGCGCGAACGAAACAGCCCACGACGACGACGCCCGCCTCTGGACGCGGCGGAACCAGCAGCAACAACAACCCGGCCTCTTCCTCCTCAGCCACCGGTAGCGCCAACGGCGCCGGATCCTCCGGAGCGGCTGCCAGCGCCGGCCGCTCCAGCCGCTTCTCGTCCTCGTCATCGACTCCGCCCTCCTCCTCCTCCTCCGCCACCCCGGCCAAGTCTACCGCTGCCGGTGGCGCATCGGGGTACAAGCCTGGTGCCAGCAGCAGCAGCAGCAGCAGCAGCAGGGGAGCCGGTTCATCGGGGTACAAGCCTAGCACCGCCGGTAGCACCCCCGGCAGCGGCGGCGGTGCCACGAAGGCCGGCTCTTCTGCTCGCGGGGGCAGCGGTGCTACGGCAACAACCCCTGCTACCGGTGCGGCGGCGGGGACGGCGGTGGCGACCCCCGCGTCCTCCTCGGGCAACGCCAGCGGTGTGAGCAGCGGCGGCCTTGGCAAGGCCGCGGACCCACTCGCGTCGGCGGCGGCGGCGTATGCCGCTCAGCAGGCCGCTGCTTCTGCCGCCCCGTCTTCGGCGCTCGTTTCGTCGTCGTCGTCTTCCATGAACCCGCCTCCTGCTACCGGGGGTTACATGCAGCAGCCGGGCGGCGGCGGCGGCGGTGGGTACGGGATGCCCACCACGGCGCCTTCCGCGGTGCTCGGGGCGCCGCAGCAACAGCAGCAGCAGCAGCAGCTGTATGGACAGGTGGGAACGTTGACGACAGCAGTTGGCTTGTTTGTGGTTGAAATGACATGTCTGTCGAGTGTCAAAGCTTGAGGTGTTGTGGCCACTGCCGTTCCTGCTCCCTCAAGACCTTGAACGGCCAGCACTGCCGTCCCTTGTGCCCCCTCCCCCCCCACCCCGTTTTTGTCGACGCCTTCGTTTCCCCCAGCCCCCCCCGTCCAACGGTCCTCCGGGCTCAGCGGCTACTGCCCCTTACGGCACCCCGGCCAACCAGCTGCCGCAGCCGGCCATGGGACAGTACGGGATGCCACCACCGCAAGGGCAGCAGCCGCCGCCGCAGCAGCAGCAGCAGCCACAGGCAATGTCGGCAGCTCCCGGCCAGCAACAACAGCCTGCGGGCGCGATTCAAGGGTACCCGGGGCAGCTGCTGCAGCAGCCGCAGCAGCAGCCGCCGCCGCAGCAGCAGCAGTCGCAGCAGCAGCAGCAGCAGGTGACAAGACGAGTTTTGTAAACGGGCATTTTTATTTCCTTTTTCTCGTCATGTTCGTTGGGTCGGTTTTCGGCGCATTTGGTTGCGTGGCGCCGCAGCTGCATTGTTGTGTTGAGGTCGTCTTGCCTCTTTCTGCTTCCACGCACCGGTTTGTTCATGAGCCGAGGAGTGAGTGAACGACCGACCTCCTTCGCCAGGTGTAATACGTTTTTGAAGAAATAGACCAGGGAGGGGGGACGCAAACCGTATCTCTTAACCCTGACCCTAACCCAACTTTCCCGATTGGTATTCTGTAGCTGTGGGTGAAGCGAACGCGATCAACTTGTTGTTGCAAGGTTCGGGTGCCCCTTTTTTTCTTGGCCACTTTGTTTTTGGTCTTTGATCGATGCCTCGATTATGTCGCCAGAACCTTACAGACAATGCTGTACGAGTGTTTTCGGCTCTGGTCGTGACCGCGACGATTTTCAAACGCTCTCGCCCTGTCGTTCGTTTGTAACATGGTTTGTTCTCAGCCCTGGCAACAGCAGCAGCAGCAGCCTGGCCAGCCGCAGCAGCAGCAGCCTGGTCAGCAGCCTGGTCAGCAGCAGCAGCCTCTTCAGGGCCAGCAGCAGCAACAGCCGTACCAGCAACAACAAGCACCGCAGGGAGTTCCGGGTGGGCCGGGCGGCATGCCCACCCAGCAGGGGGGATTGCACCCTGGTTACGGAGGCTCCGCACCCATGCAACACCAGCAGCAGCAGCAGCAGCAGCCTGGCCTACAGCAGCCCGGCCTGCAGCACGTGCAGCAGCACCAACAGCAGCAGCAGCAGCCTGGCCTGCAGCAGCCTGGCCAACCGCAGCAGCAGCAGCAGCAGCAGCAGCCACAACAGCAGCCGCCGGGCCAGCAACCACAGCAGCAGCAGCAGCCGCAGCAGCAGCAGCAGCAGCCTCAGGGGGGGTTCAACCCCAACATGCCTGGCGCCGGATACGGCGGACCCCCCTCGGGGCAGCAGGGTGGTGGCCCCGGTGGGCCGGCGGGCGCTCCGCGGGGTTTTAACCTGGGAGGGTGCGTTGGTGTACACATGTAAATAAACACTTGCCGTAGTTGTCGAGAGCGTCTATCTCACATGCCTACGATGTCGGGGGGGGGGGCGGGGGGGGCACGAGCGAGCGTCTTGGTGTGTGTACTTTTTGTCATATACAGCATCGACAGCGCGCTTCTTCACACTTCGCCGGTACGATTAGACGGCTCCTAAGGAGTTTCCCGTAATATTCTCTCTATGCTGTCCCTCTAGCTCTCTCTGTCCGTTTGCCCATTTCCCCCGCCCACCCCACCCCTCCTTTCACGTGTCGCCTTTTTTCTTGCTCCCTCCCTTTCTGTAGCTGTAGTGGGGCTTAAGAAGTGGGTTGAAATGAAGGGGAGTGATGTTGATAGGATAGATAGAATTGACAAGACATTTATGAGCCACCTTTGGCAAAGTATGTAGGAACGATTGGCCATCGGTGATTGGCCCTGTGGGGACAATGCTCCGTCCTCTCGAGGACATGTGATCAATGGTCTAACCGCTAAGACGTGCAAAACATAAGAGGACACCCCCCCCTCCTTCTCTTCATATCCCAACCCTCTCCGCCTCTCTGGTCGCTTTTTTTACCCCCGCCACTGCCCCGCCCGCCTCCCCCCTCTTCCTCTCGCGTGTCGCGTTCTTTATATCTCCTTCTCAACCCGCTCTCTCTGTCTCCGGGCCCTTGATTTTGGTCAACCCTTCTTTTTTATCTCCTTCGTTCTCTTTGTCCCAACCCGCTCTCCCTGTCTCCCGGCGCTTGTTGTTACTCAAACTTAGGCCGCCGGCGCAGGGACCTAACGCCCCCCCCGGCGGAGGAGGGTTCACTCCCAACAACAACAACAGCAACGGGGGGGGGGGTCCCAACAATGTTGGCGGCCCGAACAACAACAACAACAACTTTCCCCCCGGTGGCCCAGGCCAGGGCCCTCAGAACATGCCCCCGCACGGCATGATGGGTCCCAGCGGGGGTGGGGGACCCGGTGGACCGGGCCCTCAAAACATGCCCCCCCACGGGATGATGGGCCCGCGGGGAGGTCCTCAAGGGTGGGGGGGGTCGGTTTGGAGGCCCCGGCGGGGGGGGCCCGCAGGGTGGACCCGGGGGACCCCCGGGGGGTGGAGGGGGCCCGCAGGGGGGTCCCGGTGGACCGGGGGGAGGGGGTAACGGTGGTGGCCCCGGGGGGATCGTGCTGCAGCCGGTGGGGCTGTACAGCGTGGAGAGGCCCGTGCCGAACATGCCGCAGAGGCCGAACATGCCGGAGTGCCACGCGTTCGTGAAGAACGGCTGCTGCCGGTTCCTACACAACTGCAGGTGCTTTTGCTTGCGTGCCTGCGTGACGTTCATTAAGGAAGGGTTCTACTTCACATGTGTGTGAAAGGCGTCTAAATTAGTATTTGCATCAACTCGTTAACCGAAAATACGTCTCTTTTAGTGTTTGCATCAACCTCGGTAGCCGGCGGACATATGAGAAGACGCTAGTCCCAGCGCCGCTGAATACCCAAAATGCCTTTAGGCCATGATCTGGAACCCGTGAGGGGCCGTCATGCGAGAGGCTCGGCTTCAGTAGTTGTCTGCCGCGCAGATGTGGATGACAGGTCAACCGCGGCCGGAGGAGCCGAAGTCCTCACAGATTATGCCTTTATTTTTGGCCAATTTCTGCCGGTTTGATTGAGGCCATATTGTACCTATTCAAGAGCGGTTATGATGAAGACGTTTGTTTTTCCAGGTCGTTAGCGACGGAGGCTGTTCGGGGATCCGTTCGTCTGTTGTCAAGACGTCTCTTGACCTGTTCAGAGCTGTGCCCACAAACGGTGTATGACACAAGATAACACACCCCCTGGACCGATTTTCAAAGCTAGATTACTCCACGACGAAGGGGATGCAACGAACGAAACGAAACATTTTCAGAGAGCTCTCGACCAGGCGGCTTCAACGCCGCCGTTTTCGGCCCTGCGACTGTTGCTGCTGTTGAACAATCGAGCTTTGAAAATCGATGCAGGGGGTGTGTTCTCTTGTGTCATATACGGTTCGCATCGGTGATACCAACGCGTGGGCGCTAACAGCGTATGCGCGCATGCGTTCATCACACGCATGTGTTGATTTTTTTTTCCGGTCGGATAACAAATCTTTGGGAGGAATTTTCTGGTTTCCATTTTTTTTTTTCATAATTTTGAGAGGTGTACCCCCGTTTGGGGGCAGTTGGCCTGGGACCACGGAAGGCGTCGTCCGCGTCAGTTGGGCTGTTATAGTATAGTATAGTATAGTATAGTATAGTATAGTATAGTATAGTATAGTGTAGTATAGTATAATATAGTATAGTACAGTACAGTAGAGTATAGTATGGTATAGTATAGTATAGTGTAGTATAGTATAATATAGTATACTACAGTACAGTAGAGTATAGTATGGTATAGTACGGACATTAGAAGGTACTGAGCGGATACCGGTTTTTGATGTGAAAACAAGAACAAGAACAACAACAATACCCGTGGTCAACTGTCCCCAGGTACCACCACCCTTACGACCGACTCGGCATGCCCACCCAAGACTCCGCGGGCGGCGGCGGCGGCGGCGGCGGCGGCACGCAGAGGGGACCATCCTCACAGGAAAACGGAGGCGGGGGCAGCGGGGTGGATGCGATCATTGGTGTGCAGGACCGAGCACCTTGCGACATATTTCTGAACGTGAGTTTTTGCTTCTGAAGCTCCGACAGCAGTTTTTTTTTTTTTCATGTGTTTGGGGTATCTCCGAGGGCTCTATTTCTTTTTTTGATACGGGCCAAAGTGGTGATTTCTCATGGCGTTGTTTTTTTTGTCTTCTGCCTACTGTTTCTGAAGTACATCATTTCTTTCT